CACAGCGTAGGATTTGATTCATCTTGCCCGCTCACGGAGCTAACCAAATGATGTAATTTATCGTATTTAAAAATAATAAATAAACCTTGTGGTTAAACCTTTTTTTTATTGGAAACAAAGACCTACCTAGTGGCACATAATGTCTTGAGCTATTCGTAATAACATAAAATGATAATTTAGGCGCAGAAATGAAGCGTAAACCGTTTTGCAACTTCAAATGCAAGATCAAACTCTGTGCATTTGTTGTGTTTTAAGTTACTAAACCGCATTTTATAAACTATTCCCCTACTCTATATGTACCATAAGTTAATAAAATGATTCTATCCGAGTCACTTCAGTAAAAATCAATGATAATGTCGGCGTAACGGGGTATTACCCTGCCGCATAGACTTCGTGACGTGACAAGTTACTTCAAAGTAGTGAATATCACATTTTCTCTCCCGAGTAAATATCGATGCGTGTCAGCTATATGACACCACTTCCCTTCGTCTTCTTTAAGGTCATAATATGCCCCAGGTTATAGCATGCATTGACAAAAGATTAAACAGCAAAAGAGAGAGACTATCCCATATTGCGCTCGTTATTTGATAATTTAACAAATAATTCTCGTACACATTCAGAATGCGAATACCAGCTTGTTCTCAGAGCGCTAAAAATTAACATAATGCGCTGATCATATTTTACGAATTACTGCTACGAGTTAAATTTCCTCTCTTTGCGTTATAGGCTCTTGTCAGACTCGGTTTGAGATTATTTTCCGCCATTTTCAAGAAGGTGCAACACCGCTAGATATACAAAGTCCCTGTCTAAAAACTCGATGCTAAATCTTTTTTCTTCGCCTTATGTAAAAACAGTGTTGCGGATTAGCTCGGCTATTGTTACGCAATTGAAAAGATTAACTACTTCGTATTGCTTTTTAACTATTCATATCAAAGTTCAAAGAATGCATGGTTGCACCTATTTCAAAACAGCGGAAAAAGCCACAAATCGACCCAATTACACATCTTCTAAATCTTTACAAGAAAAGCCAGCCAGCAGTCATTAAGTAATGCGTGATCACCGCTTACGTTTTGTTAGATGATTGAAAATGAGCAAAGAACGACAAATTGATTAAAAAATACGTTTAGATTAAAAAAAAAAAGCAATATTCGTATGAAATGGACTTACTCCGCGTTTTTAATTTCTCTATGCTGGAATGACTAACGAGAGCTTGTTAAAATGTTTGACTTATTCGATGATGTTTGTTGCCTTTTGTTATAAAATTAGTTTAAAAAATGAATAAAAACTAAATTGCAGAAACATTAAAGGAAGTTTACAAGAAGTAAAAAAGTTGTTACTGCTTACTTGGAAACCTTAAATTTGCGAATCCTCCTAATTATACGCGCTGTTGTAATAGGCTCGTCAACTACGATAGCAAAAGCTTAAGTTGTTTACATAACCAACAAAAACGAAGCAGTGAAAGTGCAGAACATTGCTACAGTGTGCCACGTCACCCGCTCACGCCCAGTCTCTCTCAGACGAGCTGTTTATTATCTTCACTGGAGGTCCTGGCGTACACAGCCCGAGCAGCATTCTGGGGAGTATGATGACGCTTGTACATCACAGCCAAAGCCACGATCAAAACCAACACTACCACGCCCAAGACACCAGCGACTGCAGCAATAATGGTCAGCGAGTCCACAGACTTTCGTTCTGGAAAGTAAAAAATGCAACTTAATGAGCTTTAAAGGCAGAATTGGCTATTGTCTCAGAGGGCCACAAGTTCATTAGTTTTTTAACTATTGTCATCGTCTTTAAATAAAGTTTGATTCCATTTGATTTGATTTTTATAGCCGGGAATAACAAACGATTTTTAACATAAAGCTAGGAGGGTTTTACATGATGCCACGTGACCATTCTGTATTCCCAAACAACATTTCCTCTCCTTAGAGAAATGAGTTTTTTTCGTCTGAAAACATTTCCTATCGGTATACCAAACTGGCCGCCATAAAAACGCTTCACAAGTTTCGAAAATTTTACACTTATCAAATGCACTTACAAACGCGCGAAATCACGCATTTATAATTCACGTAAGAGCGTGATGAGCATTCACGCACGTGCTCACTTAGCATTTGCACACGAGCACTCTTGCTTAGTCACGCACGCGAACGCTCCGGCTCACTGACTCTCACCCTCTTGTGCTGGTTCATCATCAACTTTTTTATACACTGGTCCAACAGTAACGGTCTCCTGTCCGATACTATCCAGTACTAGGCTACGTCTCCTCCTCTTGGAACCGTTGTCTTCTTCGCAGCCCTGAGCACAGCGGGAGGAGTTATCTCCCTTGCGGCAGGCTTCCACTGCGCAGTGGAGGTACACCACAGCATCCGCACTTACACCCATGAACCGGAATGCGTCTAAGCTGAACTGCTGCACAGCACTCTCTTCGTAGTCATACACCAATGTCGCATCTTCGTTACACCTGTGAATAAGAGACAGAAAAGAAAAATTTGAGAGTAGAATACAGAGCAACAACATAAAGACAGTGTAAGTCGCAACAGAGAACCGATGGAGACTTGAGAAAATATATTCGGTCTGCATTTGAGTCATTTGAAATCAATGGTTCAATAGAGTTTGGGGCATAACCCTTGTTAAGGCAACATGACGCCACAAAGGAGCAATCATCTCTCCCCCACCCCCCTAAATGGAATGCTTGTCCGCCGCAGGTTGCCCATGGCTAGCTCCATTGTCAAATGCAGACTTCATTGCTTTGCGCTATTATTTGCCTTCTTTTTTCCTATTTTTATCAGAGTTGTCAATCCAGTGTAGTAGTCTAAGATTAATGTGTGGTAAGGTACAGTCGAGGTTTACCAATGCTTAGACTTCCCACAAGTCGACCTCGTGAGTTTCTGGGTAGAATAGCTAGGCGAGCGGAGCGAGAGGTGCCAGGTTTTAGGCCGCAAGTCGCTAAGCGGCCGACGAAGTTGCGAGAGGTCCAGCGAGTCATGATGAGTTCATGAGTATACAAGATGAAGGACTTTCTGAAAGTCTAACCAATTCCTTACCCGTCCTCGATGAAAGCAAACGATTTGTCGTCTTCCGGGTCTGAACTGGGCGTGGCCCAACATTTATCGGGAAACAAAACCAACTTGGAGTCATTGGACAGTACCTTTACTTCCAGGTACATTTTTTCATTCAGGTCCTTTTGTACGGGGTAGGTGTCGTATGGAGTGTCATATTCGGCCGTGGGGTACATTTCCATCATGAAGGTAAAGTTACCAAACTCGGCTGCAAAGGTCAAATAAAACATATTTCATTCATTGCTTTTTTAGCACTGGTTTGAAGATAAGATCTCTCAAACAGAGCCTACCCTGTCATTATGCCAGATTTTCTCAATAGTAAGCCGTTACTATTTATGCTCTTTCCCAGCCCTTTCCCATGATAACTGAGCCAGCGTGACAGTCATACGATCGTGCTCGTATGACTGGCAAAACACAGCTCAATTATTTTCAGCCTATGATTTAAACTTTCCAAATAAACATGACTTTCCACTGTCTTAACAGTGGTCGTTTTACTTTCAGGGTCAATGCGCAGGCCCAAAAGGGCAAAAACATTTAAACGGCACAAATGGCCGATTCTTCCTATGAGACGCCTGCAGGGAATCATGGTAGCTGTATTCATCAAAACAAATATCCAGTCCAAGATGATGAATACAACTACCATGATCCCCTGCAGGCGCCTCTCACAGAGGGAATTGGGGATTGGGCCCGGACTCCGCTCGTTACCTGTTCTGGTGTAGATGACTTTTTCCCGCGGAGAAAAACTCGCGACCGACAAAATGGCAGACCGTGGATAAGTACACTTGAATGGAAACTCCGCCTGGAACTCTCTGGAGATCAAGATGCTGCCTTGACTAGCTCGAGTCTCAGCTATTATGCTGTTGGCGTAAGTGATGGTATCTTCTGCAGTGGTATGGTTGGTCATACAGCCGTCCAGTGGCACTTCCATCCTCAAGTGAGTTCCGTTGAAGTCTCCCAGGTCAGCTAATTTGCAGTTGACGTCTTTCAGGGTGATACTATCCATGTCCAGGTTGGGATGCTTAGTGTGCTCCAGGTAAACCATCATATACTCGTAAGTGCACACCACAGATAGGGCTGTCAAGAAACAACAAATGAATGTACTAATAAACGACAGATATCCCAGATCACAGTGTGCATGCACTTAATGACAAAATGTAAAGATTTGTATTGAACTTTGCGACTTGTATCCATATGTAACAAAAAATGATAACATTAAGTCAGTCAGTGTGTACGTCAGTCAGTCAGTCAGTCAGTCAGT